TATATATATATGATCCAACTTCTGGTGAGTCATTATTCTGGCATAACCTACACCACATAAGACAAAAAAAAAACATACCAAGCATCTCCAGTAAATGGTGACTGAAGAGAACAAGCCAAGGGATGGATACACCAAAATTTAAAAGTCACTAAATATCCTTTTGGAGTAGAGCTAAATCAATCATTAAAGTGGACCTTTACTCATATTTTTAAAATAACAACAAAGGCACCTTTCGTAATGTCAATATACAAACACATACAGGTGAAACTCGAATAATTAGAATATCGTGCAAAAGTAATTGCATTAAGTTCTGCAAAAGGGGCCCAAACCAAGTACTGAGTACATATGCATGCTTGTACTTTTCAGAGGTCCGATATTGTTCTATGTACAATCCTTGTCTTATTGATTGCATGTAATAATCTACTTTTTTGAGGTTGTTGATTTGGGGTTCTTGGGGTTTTCATGAGCTGTAAGCCATAATCATCACAATTATGACAAATCACGGCTTGAATTATCTTGCTTTGCATGTAATGAGTCTATCTCATATATTAGTTTCACCTTTTAAGTTGCATTAGTGAGATAAATGAACTTTGCACGATATTCTAATTATTCGAGTGTCACCTGTACTTCTAGATAATTGCCGGATTTGTATTCTTTACATACCTTATTTCTCTTTTCTTTGCCAGTCTTCTCACAGTGGCCATGTTTACGAAGAGCAGATAAATATATCTCCCTTTACTTCCTGGAATTCTGGCACATGTGACTAGGACATGTGACCATGCACATCATCTCAGGGGAGGAACATGCCTTTACCTGAGATCTCATGAGATTACAGAGATTTCCCAGCAATGCTCTGCTGATTTAACCTTCCCAGGATGCAACGCTTGTGCACAATTATATCATTTGTGCCAAAGTGGACAAGGAAGTGGATAAAACTCTATTTGTAAGCAAAACAAAAATATGTTTGTTTAGCTAATGAATGTAAGATGATTTTATATCATCGTGCAGAGCTGCATGCTGATGTGATTTTTAGTGAAAGGGGGTAAAGGTCCACTTTAAGGTTGATCTAAAGGCAAAACATTTTTTTGGACAGTAGAAAAATCATGCTTGGTTAAAACCATGCAAGGTTATTGGTTTTTCCATGTGTGCCCCATAGGGGAGATTTCCCTTCCTTTCCTGTGCTGTAAAACACAACAGAAAGTGAGAAACAATATCTCGAAGTTACGGAAATGCCCATTTAAACCAGGGCTTGACAAATCCCAAATTTTTTCAACTATGCGTTGCAGCGCGGTCTATCGCATTGCGGGTGGGATGTGCATTTGGGGTGTCATTCAAATGAATGGCAGTACAGTACAACACATCTAACGCACAGTAGGTATGTTCTGTTGTACCGTGTTTAATTAAAGCATAGACCTGGTGTGAAAGGGCCTTAAATAGCAACTTTGAAGTTTAGATTTTCTCTCTTTTACTGTCTCAGAAACAATGGTGAGCAGGACAAATAGTCTAAATTTTACCTCACAGAGGCTCAGCATCACATGTGGGCCTTACCTAGGATATTCTACATTTAAATGCAGTCTGCTTAGGACCACCCACACCTCCAGATTGACACTCGCATTTAAACCAAAAACTGCAGTTCACCAAGTTACGATTTCTATCGTCAAGCATGGTGACTGTAACATTAGGTGAGGAACAGCCGTATAAGGAGGCTATGCACCTGCCCTCGCCCACATTCTGAGGAAGCCCCGTAATGGGAGGGGTGAAACGCGTCAACAAAACACTACAGGCATTTGGCCGAACACACACCAGACACAAGCAAACATCCTGGAGGATAATCAGCTTGCAGTATACCAATATGAAAGGCTTACAGTGATTATAATATAGATATAACTCGTATGGATGCAGAAGACTGGACAAGTATTAAAACTACTGCGGAGGAACAATATGGTGACCGCTACTTTTCTTGCCAAGGGAGATATAAAGGCTGTTGCTTATAAATGCCATCTACATGCCAATAGATATCCTTAGTGCATGTGATTGCAGGACTGTTTGGTATGTTACCATTAGCCCATTTGGAAAAATGATGCACGACACGGCTGCTGGCAAACCAATGAATATGTTTTTTTCCACCAATAAGTACTGGCGTGTCCATATATTACCCACAAAACGGGGACTGGGCAGCGGAGTTCATAATTCTATTGCCCAAGCATCAGAATTGAACTTGAGCTTTCGAAATTCTGCCTCTCCCCCTTCCCCTTCTTTTCTTTACATCAATTAACCATCAAAAGATTTACCAGCATTGAATCATTACACAAACAAATGTGTGGTGCACGCATGAATGAGTGGATGGTGTGTTTGAATTTGACAATGTTGTCAACTTGTTTTTAAATAGGTTGTTTTAGGGTAAGGTGCCATATAATATGAAAAATGTGACATTCTTTTGGATTTAAATAAAATTAATTTCCACAGAGCCGTGCAGTCTAGATCCTTCAGTAACTTCTGCAGTCTGAGCCTTGTAGGCACAGTCTAATGGTGTTTGATAGGTGACTGTAGCATTAGGCTATCGGAGAGTAGGAGACAGAATGAAAGAATAAAACAAAATTCAGGGAAATCATGGAAGAAAACCTGATGCAGTGGGCAGTAAACCTGAGACCTGGAGAAGATGTCTTCCTGCAAGACAACGACCCCAAGTATTAAACCAAACTACACAAGAATGGTTTAAAACAAGAATTTGAATGTCCTAGAATGGCTAAATCAGTTTAAGTTTCAATCCAATAGAGAAGGCTGTACTCTAATGATCTCCATGCAATCCGACAGAGCTAGTTCTAAGAAGAAAGGAAAACTGCAGCATCCATATGCAGAAATTTGCTAGATACCCATCTATACAGACCCAAGACTGCAATGGCTGTCAAATGTGCATCTTCTAATTCGCTTGTATACTTATGCAGTAAGTTATTTATGTTCTTTCATTGTGATGAATTGAAATCACTTTTCAGATATCTATTTTCAATTTGAACTGAAAGCATATAGTTCCACTGTGATTAAATCAGGGTTGGACAAATCCCAGGAACTAGGTAGCCAGTGCTCTAAAAAAATCACAGCTGGGCCTAACTTTTGAAGTTTTCCCATGTTGTCAATGGAGCTGGCACCTAAAAAAAAATATGCTCTTGGATTGGAAAGACTGGCTCCTGATTTTTGTCCACCCCTGGATTAAATATTTCATAACAATCAAACGGATATAATATAAGTCATTGTAGAGGGGAGCAACACACGTTTTACTGAATTATTTTATTTCTGAATTATACACAAAACTAGGAATCTCTGTGGTCAGTTTAAAAAGTGTGTAAAAGGACAAAGCAGTCGGTAGAAGGTTAGAGCCGAACTCCAGGCAAACATCCAATACACGGATTAAATACACTTAGGGGTGAATTTCTGCCCATTCGGTCCTGAGACAGTCATACAACCAGGAGGATGACATCACTTTCTCTGTTACAATTCGGTCCTGAGACAGTCATACAACCAGGAGGATGACATCACTTTCTCTGTTACAATTAGGAAATACACTACTGACACCACTCTGTCCCCAGTCTTTTGACTGGAGAGTAAAGGAGCAGCAGTAGCAGAATGAGGAAGTCATTACTCTGCTCTCTCTTCCTGTCAGCTTTTTTTTACTGCCAGCATATTCAGATGCAGTTCAGTTGACTGGCTCCCAGTGCTGCCCCTCCCTCTCACAGTCTAAGGTCTTCTATGCAGGGGATTGAAAGAGGGTACTACCTAGTCAAATTTTGGAACTCCTACTATATACTACAGTACTTACACTGATAATTTAAAATGTATATTATATATCTGCCTTGAGTTTAGCTTAAACTGAAAATACTGGCTGTTAACATTTGGGTTGCGCCTCTCTAGGACCTATAACCATGTTATATATACAGTATATGCTATGTGGTTGAATGGAGGACTTTTTGGCTTTTTGTACCTGCAACATTCCACCAAGACCAACCACTAGAGGTAAGCTGATAATATCTTGGGAAACAAATTATATAGCACATCTGTTGCAGTTCAATTCACACTTAGGTCATGTCTACAGTCTCCATACAGTACAATGGGTGCCTAAATAACACTTTAAGTTCCACCTTAGACAATGATTGGTGAGGAGCATACCACTCTGCACCACATCACTCCTTTAACCTATACACCAATCAGCACACAGCCATCGGGTTTTCTGAACAAATAAAATCTAAAACTTTGCATATGAAATAGTAACCTTGTAAAGCCATCTTACATTGTACAGCTCTATCATTGTACAGCTCTATCTTGGTATCTAAAGATAAAGCACAATGGTTGGTGACAGAAGAGGGGTACATGAGCGGTAGGTGTTGAAAGCGGCTACATGGTAGTATGGAAGGTGGGGCACATGCGTGGTGGGCAATGACAGAAAGGGGTTGAGACCCAAAACTTTTGAGATGAGACTGTTCCTGGACAGCATGCTGTCTGGCTATATAATCGGCACTGCCAATAGAGAGGAGACAAGGTGGTGGTTTGATTACAGCAAACAATGTGACTGTTTTATACATGTATCAGTTGGGTCTTAAAGTGAGCTTCCAACAAGCGTTTCCATGTGTTGGGAGTTAAAAGTGATCACATAAGATTTTCTACCAAAATTAATGGCCTGTCTGTCCAAAATAAAGCTAAGCATGATTTGTTAGCATAAGCAACAAAAGCAAAACATTATATAGTGTAAAATCGACAAGTGAAATGACTTAGCATACAAATGAACACAAAGCCTATGGGTATTAAACAGTTAAAAATATTTTTTTTTAAGTAATACAATATAATAATATATTTTCATACAGTCCAATGCTATGTAATGTTTTTTTCTATTCATTTAGAGATTAAGTATGATTCAAACAATGTATAAGACAGCATTCATGGTCACATGCACACACTTACATACCTGGAATGGACTGTGCTGCTGCCTCAGAGCTGACATTGGGGATGGTATTTGGCTGCTGCTGGCTGGAACTAACTTCAGGCTCTGCATTCATTGATGGGGAGAGTGCCATGTCACAGGACAATGCTGGTTTCAGTACAGGTGGGTGAAGGTCTTCAGAGACTTCTTTCTTTTCCTGTCCTGGCAACTGAAGTGCTGATAAAGGTATGTTAATAGGTTGGCTAGGATTTCCTGTGGACGTACTGACTGGCATTTGTATTCCCTTCTGCTGATTGACAGCTGGAGGATTAGATGGTATTTTGCTTTGGGAGGACAATGGTGGTCTCACAGGCTTTTGAGATGTGGGCCTTTGCAGGATCAGTGGAGAAGGTGCAATAGCTTGAACTTCAAGCTCGTTATTTAGGGATGGGGGAAAAATGTTCAGTGGCTTGGATTGTCCCACAAAAGGGGTTGTGGTGGCAGTTTGGTTCTTCGGCTTGGCCATCTGTGTTAGCGCCAGTGAGGGACCATCAGCACCACCAGTAAGTTCTGCATTAGCAACAATATAGTAGTCTTCCGGTTTTTCCTGTTTAATTTTTTTCACAATCACATCACTACTGTCCTCATCCACAATGTGCGACTGAGATCCAGAAAGACAAGAGTTAACACCACCACTGGACCTCTTGCGGGAAACACTAGGTGACTGCTGGACTTGTTCAAAGTCACTGTCCTCATCTGTTACAGAAGATTCACACACCATGTCAAACAATGTGGTTTCATCTTCAAATTCTTCTACAGGCTCATCCAGCTCTGAAGGTTCACTACAGTAGGAAAAGTCACAGGAGTCTCTTGTTATATTGCAGTCAAGTTTTGATTTTACTGGTCTCCCAGGGTACCTATCCAATGGACTTGTCTGAGTCTCTGAGGGCACACCAATGATACTAGGACTGTCTGAGTTAAAGCTTCTACTGTCTTGGAAGCACACTCTCTCCTGAGGGCCAGCCCTGCAGGTTGTAGTCAATGGCCAGTGGTATGCATGCCCAGCACTGCATCCCCACATAGCTGTAAGAGTTCCATGGGAGCCCTCAGAAAGTAAGTGCTTCAGGTTTGGAATAAGGCTACAAATTGTCCCATGGCTATGAGCCCAACTCACTAATTTGGAGAGGTTTTCTGAAGATGTATGAAGACAGTCTTCCATTTTGATAAATCAAGAAGTATCTTCCTGTAAGTTAAAATAGAAGAATGAGATTTCAGATCCATTTGTTTACAGAACCAATGCAACTCCATTTTTTTTACAAACATTGTAGGCACCTACTTAAACATATGCAAAAATATAAACATTTAAAAAAACCCACAAATGTATGTCTTTTATGGTATCTTTTACAATTCCTTGGAATTCTTAGCACTTGAAGTATTTTAAAAGAATATTATATATATATGTGTATGTGAAAAATATATACATACACACATAAAGGCAGTTTCCAATATTTATTGATAGCTTTTAAAGTCCTTTTTCTATTTCCTTTTATAGCCAAGATCTAGACATATTTTAACAGGGTTTCCTTCTTATATTTAAATTAAAAAGAGATTTCTAATGAAATGTAATTATGCAATCAAAGTACAATAACCAATACTAACCAATCATAATCATTAATCTACAGAAAGATTATAGCTCAGTGGTTGATATGGGCTAGGAACTTTGTATGTAGCCACTACAATTTATACCTGCATTAAAATATAGTATAGTAAAGCTGAACCTTTTTTTGGCTTTACTTCTGTTTTGGGTCACAGGAGAACATTTGCTAAAGTACTCCTGTGATCCAAAGTCAGTATATAGCGGATTACTGCCTGCTATATGCTGACAATGCAGAGCTGCGTTGTAGCCGGGAAGGATCCCGAAAATATTGTCCCAGCTTGCCAATTGACAGCTTGCTCAGTGCGCTAGAGCAGCCTTTCTTAACCAGGGTGTCGTGGCAGTGATGTGAAGCGGGGAATAAAAACTGACGTGAAGGGGGCTCCTGATGTAAAGGGGTATTTTTCTTTTGTAAGGGGGGAAATTTTGAAGGGGGGGGGGGGTTTCTTATGTGCAAGAGGGGCTTCTGATGTGAAAGGAGGGCTCCTTATGTGAAGGGGAGCTACTGAAACAGGATAACTCTGATGTAAAGGGGGTCATCTTGATTTGAAGGGAGCACTTCAATGTAAAGGGGGAAACTCACGTTTTTGTCTTAGTATGGGGTCCCCCTTTAAAATCTATGACATTTTAAACTAGGGTGCCTTGATATTTTGCATAGTTTTTAATGGTGCTGTGACTGACAAGGTTGAGAAACGCTGCTCTAGAGCTCTTTGACCCAGCTGAGCCCACCCCCTCCCCTGTCTGTCCCTTCAATGAGCATTGGGGAAACAGAGAGGAGAGGGGGGAATACCTGCGGGAAGCGGTAACTGACAGTCACTACTCTTTCCAGGGGGAAGACTGTGAGCTGTGCGATCAGCGGTCACATGATCACTCAGCTCTCAATCTACAGAGCCAGTGTGTGACAGCTGCAGTGTCCCACGTTTGCTCTAAGCATTGTGAAGAGTATATTTTACTATCCCAGTACTTCTTCTTTAAGTAATAGGCAGAATTTAATTCAGCTTGAGACCAGTTCACTGTCATTCGAGCATATGCTCATTTCGCTAGCTTGCCTTTACAGTTAATTAGGCAAGCTTTTCCAGATAATGTAGTGAATGGAAATCCTGATCTTTCAGGTTCTTGATAAAGGGTTGCAGGGAGGGGGAAGAGATGGTAAGAAGTAGTGATTAAATGTAGAATAGATCACACTATCTTCTCTGTAAGAAAAAATTGTTGACATAAATAGTAATCATAAAAATGCTCTTTTGTAGAATTTAGGTCAAGGGTAACAAAGAAAACACAAATAATGATATAAAGATTATTATTTACTGAATGATGGACACAGACACTATTGAAACACTCATCATCTGACCAGTGTTAATTTTCACAGCACATTTCAATCTAGTTTTAGTCATAGAGGGTTATTCACTAAAGGGTGAAGGGTTTGGAGAAAGCAGGAGAAGTGACCAATCTAGGACAACATAGCTGAACTGAAAAGTGAGCTGAATTGGAAACATTTTCTAAATCAGCTATTTTGTCCTAGATTGTTCACTTCTCCTGCCTTCTCCAAACTCTTCACCCTTTTGTGAATAGCCCTGATAGTCTTTAGACTAAATGCCATTTAGTTTTAGTCATCTGAATTGTGTTAGTTTTAGTCAATCAAATATCATAAGATTTTAGTCAACTAAATCTACAGTAGATTTAGTCTACAAAAATCTAGTGGGTTTAGTTAAAGAGTGATTTAAGAATTTCTCTTGAATTTCCAATCTAATTATATACTTCTGGAGTAAACATCTGTTAACCGGTTATTACTTATGGTTTTAAGATTTGAACATGTAATACAGACACAGATTTAACTGTTGTGATTATTTAATATGTGTTTATTAACATTTGATTAAACCAAGTCCTATAAAGAAACAATAATACTGAGTATTTTCAACAATGGACCAGTAATTAGATATGCATCGATTGTAACAACTGACATATGACATTTTTCATTCTTTCAAGCAGAAGTACAACTCTTAAATATTAAAATGAAAATCGATATTGGCTGTAATGCCATTGCACATATTACCTATTAGCCGTCCATTCAGGATGGAACCGGAACTGGAAGTCCAAAGAGATTAGTTCTGATTGGATCACTTTCCAAATCGTCTCCCCCTAACATCTTACTCTAGTTTTAGTTAGTTGACTAAAATGTCAATATATTTTCCTTATAGTTTTAGTTATCATAGCTTAAAGTGACATTAAAGTCATAAATGTTTTCTCCCCCCCCCTCCCCCCAAATGCTGCTTCAAGGACTTACCTTAAATGATGCCTCTTGATCCGATCATGTTCTTCCTTCCACTTGTATTGAGCAATCCCTCCAGCGCTGGTGACGGTCTCTGATCCAGCGCAGACTCTTCGGGTCCCACGGTGTCTGTCCGATGTTCACGCTCCCAGCTGTGTGCATTTATCTCCACTGTGTCTCTCCTGTTCTCCCCACCGAAGATCTCTACTTCAGATGGGAGCGAGCGGCGGTGATGGAGGTAAGTAATTACGTTTTTGGTAACTTTTTTATTTTTCTACATGTTTTTGCTAATATCTACTGCTTGCAGTAGATATATGCAAAAAAGCAGAGTTTAATTGTACTTTAATTTTTATTTAGTTTTAGTCACTGAAAAAGTGTTGTTGACAAAAACTATGATGAAAATTAGGGATGCACCGATACCGATACAAGCATCGGTATCGGCCGCGATACCGAGTATTTGCATGAGTACTCGTACTCGTGCAAATACTCCAATACATAAAACGAGTACCTGTGCCGCGTCCGCCATCTTCAGGGACCCGAATCCGCCGCACACAGGACCTCCATCGCGTCTTCAATGAAGCAAGATGGCCGCGACCTCCTCTGTCATACATAATAAATGGTACCGGATTAAACTCAAAAATGTTTGAGGAATTCATTTTTGAGTTTAATCCGGTACCATTTATCATACCATATCGCGGGAATTACCGCACGATAAATCGCTCAATGTTAACGGGGCTTTAATGTTGTTCCCTCCAGCCTGTCTCCTCCTCCACACAATCATCGCGGCGCCCTAACATTCTATACACTGTATAGAACGTGATGATTCACAGAACTTAGACTGTTGGAGCAGAGGGGAGAGAAGCTAAGGGGACTGGTCTAAGAGCAAGCGGGATCGTGGTTCGGGTGAGTATAGCACTTTTTCCCCTAGACACAACGAGCACTTAACCCTTGCAGTGTGGGGGTAGCCCCACTGTAAGTGTTACGTTTTAGATTTGCCCAGAGTTCTGCTTTGAAGACCCTCCAGTGGAGGTTTAAGACATCTCTCCATTCTTTCTTAGCTGTCCATTGGCATTTCAAATGTGTCACCTTCTCTGGCTTCCTAGCACAGGCATGAGTTTTAATTCAGTTTTTGACCAGCAGGTTTTGGGGGAAATTAGAGTAGCACTGTGTTAAGTACAACTCCACCATTCTCTCCACACAATCATCCTATCATCACACATGCTACTTAAGTTTAAGCAGAACTCCAATAATACATTTGAGCATTGCTTTGGTTTTTTGTATTGTACAAATTCCCACTCGCTTCCTGTCTGGACAGGAAGTGAAGGGAGATTTTCCAAACTGGGGCAAACACCACACTACAAAATCTGTGGTTAACCCTTCCCCCTTCTATCAAAAACTTTTAGGAGGGAAGCAACTAAAATACATTTTACAGTAGACACTTGCAAGTGCCTACACATATCCTTAGATTGCTGCTTGAGTGCCTTTAGACCAAATTTAGGGCTTCCTTATAATATTAGCTTCTTCAAAGAAAGTTTTCTGACCATCCTCATCGTCCATCTTGCACTTTACTACTGGTCCTTTGGAATGAACAGCAACCTCACTAACTGTAGTACGTGGCTCTAGTAGCGAGTAGGCCAGAGCTTGACTTTTCTCCAAATCGGTGCTTAGGTGTCAGTGATCCCACGGCACTAAGCACACCTTTCTATATAAATCTGCAGTAAGTTTAAGCTCAATACATTTTACTTGCTACAAAAGGAATTTCTGCTGTTTTTTTCTAGTAACGCTGTAGCCTCATCGTCCATCTTGCACTTTACTACTGGTCCTTTGGAATGAACAGCAACCTCACTAACTGTACTACGTGGCTCTAGAAGCGTTTATGACAGAGCTTAACTTTTCTCCTAATCGGTGCCTACGTGTCACACAGCACTAAGCACACCTTTCTATATAAATCTGCAGTAAGTTTAAGCTCAATACATTTTACTTGCTACAAAAGGAATTTCTGCTGTTGTTTACTAGTTACGCTGTATGTGTGGGTGTCGTAGCCAAGTAGTAAAGTTGCTATGTTTGCAGCTGGAATAGTGTCTGCTCTCCCAGCAATATTTATACAGTACAGGATAGGAAGGGTAATCAGACATTGCCTGACATCTGCATGTTTCTCTTATGTGGATTATGCCCCGCTGCCGCTCTATGCTGACCTTTGCAAGTAGGCCAAATAAACAATATCAGCAGTGTTTAGATTTCAGACTGGTTTGCCTAGCAACTAATTTAATGCAAGAATACGCTTGTGTAAATGATATGCGTTGAAGATCGCCTGCCTTCTTAG